AAAAAAAAAAAAAAAAAAAAAATTGGGGCCTTATTTCCTGTTGGAATTGCTTAATTATTTCTCTGCTGGCTTTCCAGTGGCAATACTTGTGCTGCCAGTGCCTGCCAAGAGCTTTGATCAAACTTTTGTAGGTTGATTACCAAGATTCACTTGTAAAAGTGTGTAAATCAAATACAAATAGAACAACATCTCCACTAAACCCAACAGTCATTAACGCGGTGACATGGCAATTTGCATTTTATTTCCTTGTTAAGAAGAAGAAAAAAAAGTTTTTGTGACAAGCCCTGTCAGAGGTACTTCAAAGGTAGCAGGGCCAGGGTGCAGCTGTGTGGATTGGGTTGGTTTCGGAGAATTTTGTTGAGGCGTTTCCGGACAGCGAACTCGCGGTGTCGGCACCTGCGCCTCTGGGGAAAATACTGATAATTTCAGTACTTAAAGTTCAGGAGTTTAACTGAGCGCCCCTTGCTGAGGCGGTGGGGGGAGAAGAGGATGATGAGTGGGCTGGGGAGGGGTTCTGATCCCGGGAGCGGCTCCCCGGGCAGGGATGAAGCGGCAGCAGCACCACGCTCCGCGGAACGGCTGGCAGCGCGCCGGTGCCTCCCTCCGCGCTCCCCGGCTCCGACACATTCCATCCCGCATCCCGAGCCAGCTCCGGAGCGCCGGCCATTTTCCAGGCGAGCGCAGATCTGCCAAGCGCTACCTTAAGAAAAGTTATGCCGGGCCATATTTAAGGAAGCGGGAGGGGGTGTGCGCTGGCCCCGTCCCAGGGCTCCGCGCCAGCCCGGCCTCGACGCCCGCGCCCGCAGGTGTCCGGACGCTTCTCCTCCGAGCCAGCCGTCGCCTCAACACCTCCCGCAAATGCTCAGCTTCTTCTGGCTGAGGTGAGGGCTGGGGGGAGCCGGGGACGATGGGGACAAGGCGGGGAACCCCCCTGCTCCAGGGCTGGCTGAGCGGGATCTGCTGTGCAGACTTCCACTCCCGGCGGTGGAGCGGCGGCTTCTCCTGGCTTTCATCGGCGCTGGGCAGCTCTTCCAGGGGAAAGCTGTGGGCTCAAAGCCCCTTGCGCTCTCCTTCTCACTCGGGTGGTGCTTTCTAGTCTTTGGGGTTTGCAGCGAGCAGTGCTGCTGCTCCATCGTGATCGGCACTGGCGATTTGTCCATGGGGACGTGGCACCCTCCGGCTGCAGCGGGGACAGCGGGAGAGAGCTGGGAACATCAACCCCCCCCGGGTCCTTCTGGGTGTGACAGGAGGAATGCTAGGCGGCTTTGGCTTCAAACAGCTTCTTTTAAAAGCTTAAAAAAAACCCCTTAAAAGCAGGGACAGATATTTAGGAAGCATGGTCACAGGGCTGCTGGGAATGGTGGCGGCATGGGGATGTGGCATGGGCACAGAGGGATGGGCTGGGGCTGGCTGGAGCAGTGTGGATGGCACGATGCCATGGTGGTCTCTGCCCCAGCAGCCTCATACGAGGTGATCTTGGCCACGGTGACTACCATGGTGGTGACCACCACATCACCACGCTCTTCACCTGGGTGTTTCCCACCCCAGTGGTCTCAGCCATGGTGACYCCCATTGTGGAGACCACACAGTTAAGACCACCAGCTTGGTGTCCACTCTGGTGGTTTCCAGCTCGGTGGGGAGGTCTGAAACGTTTTTGTATTGGTATTATGGCAGTGTCCTCCCCGGGAACGCCGTGGGTGGCAGGGCAAAGGTGCCTGGGCTGGGCGATGCTGTTGGGTGTCCCCATGCGTGTGAATTTTGGCCCTGGCGGTGTTTGCAGCTCTACCGGGGTGACATGTGGCTCTGTTCTCCCCCTGCACTGCAGCCAGACCTTTGTCCCCTGGGACACTCCCTGGGGCATTTGGAGGCCAGCCTTGCTCACGGGAGCTGCAGAGAGCGCTGGGGCAGGGCTGTGTATGGGGCTGCGGGCATGACGGGACGGGGGATGCTTCACCCTGTGCTGGAGAGGGATGTGGGGTGTGGAGGTGTCCCCGCTGCGCTCACCCTGAGTGAGGCTTTCCCATGGTGATGGCTGGAAAAGCACCAGCCCCTTGTAAGAGAAGTCWTCCTGTGTCCCGCTCTTGCCTTTGACCCTTGATTTGTGCTTTCCTGGCTCCACGCCTTTCTTTGCTCTATGAACTCTGAGGAAACATGATGTGTGCTCCCAAAACCACCACTTTCAGGGTGTCCTGGCCTTTCTTCTGGACTGGCCACCCTCCTGAGGTCCTGCTGAGACCCGCTGCAGGGTGCTGCTGTGTTTCCTCACCATTCTGTGACCTGGCACTTTGGTCCATCATGTCCCAGCGGGGTCACAGGTCTCATCCCGGGGACCCTGCTTCATCCCAATGAGCATGGGGTGACGGAGCTGAGCTGTGCTGGACACCTCTGATGCCRCTTACCCCAGGGCTTTGCTGCTGTGGGACTGGTGGGCCGGGTCTCGGGGGATGGACAGCCCCTACTGCCCTGTCAAGATGGCAGAATTTCCCAAAGTAGGTCAGGTTAATTTTTTAACGCGTGCAGATTTGCTCGTTACCATGGATATTGCTCAATTATACACCAATAATCCCCCATGAGAACTTCATTGTCGCCGCTTTCCTCCCCACCATCTCCCCCCTTTTTTTCTTCAAATATTTCCAGGGAAGGGTGAGGTTACACTGAGGGGCTGGGGTAGAAAACAGAGCCAGGTGAGGGAAAATGGGGTTGAGGAGTTTGGGAGGTGGCAGTAGGGTGCTGAGAAAGCTCTGAGGGCAGGTGGGGGTGTCTCAGGGTGTGAGGCTGCCCTGCTCTACCCAGACCCCCCCAAAAGCCCAGCACTGGGGACCCCCACYCCAGTTTTACCCTTGTCCCTCCCTCTCATCCACTGCCTTGGGGGTGGCTAAAGCAAACACCCCGCTTTCAGTGGGCTCAAGGATTTGGGGGAACAGCTGTTCTCCTGCATCTCTGCCCAGCATCATCCCGGGGGGCTGTGACACCCCCGAGGGTTTGCAGTGGAGGTTCATGCACAGTAGTGGTCCCCTGGTGATTTCTGAAGAGTCCAGCACCAAATYCCACAGCAGGAACCTTTCCYGRAGCTTGTGGATRTTTTGGTGCTGTGGGACACCCCTCYGCCAGGGTGTAGGAGAGTTGTGGGGTGCTGTGGGGTCCCCAGTATTTGCAGAGGTGTTGTTGTGTCTTCTCCTCTGTGTCTTCCCTGGTTTGCTCTGTGGGCTCCTTATGCCTTCGGCAGCACAGGAAGTGAGCGTGGCAGGAGGCAAGGAAAATATTCTGCTGGAAGGGTTTTTTTTTTCCCTAATGCAAACTTTTTTTTTTTTTTGGGTAGAAGTGGGTCACTCGAGGGGTGACAGAGTAAGAGCATCATCGCCTGGGTACTGCATCCCGTTGCCATGGTGACCCGAGGGCTGCATCAGTCAACAGCTTTCAAAATGTGACAGTTGAGTGAGGCTGAAGATTTTAATGAGGACAGACACTTGCTGGCTTCGTTTCGATAACAAATACTCCATAAATACCCGGGGGCAGAACGGTCCCGGGTCTCTGGAGCGCGGCCGGGGCTCTCCCCTTCCCCGGGGTGGGAGCGTGGGCTGGGGCTGCCTGGGAAGGAGCAGGGGGATGATGCAAAACAGACGGCTCTGGGGTTTTCCCCATCCCGCTAACGCAACCCTTGGGGRCAAGGTGACACGATTGCCGAGCCAGCAGCAGGTTTGGGTTTCTCAGAAATGTGTTGGGGGATGGGGCTATGGGGTGTGACAGGACCACCCCCACCGCTGTGTCTACAGCAGGGTGGCAAACTTGTTGTTGAACAGGAGAGTAACTCTTGCACGGTGCTCGTACAAGGGCGGGTGAGCCATCAGGAAACTCCCAAACCTCAAAAACAAGCCTGGAGAGGTCACGGGACTAGGGGAAAGGTCATGGGGCTGGGGAAAGCAAACCCCTAGAAAGCTGCTGGGGAAGGGGTGGGAGGCTGTGAGAGGCTCAGCGTTGTCGTTTGTGTCTGTAGGGAACCTGAGCACCCTTGTTTTGTACTGGCCACATTGGGTGCCCTCCGCGGGATGCCCCAAATCCTGATGCAGGTGCAGGAGGCAGATCTTCCACTTTCTCAACCCTGTGCCAATATCAGTCAATCCCATGCCTCRGGAAAAGAGCTGCTGCCTCCAGCARCCTGGTTGTACCTGCACGGSAGAACGTTGTGTGCTGGGAAGCTGAGAGTGTGCCAAGGGCCTGGCAGTGTTRTGATCAAAAGCAAAATGTAAATATAAAGCCTCTTCCACTTGCTTTTTGCTGCAGCTCCCACACTGCCTTTCCTCTCAATGCCACCACCATGTCCAGCTGGGACACAGACACCGTGCAAGTGGCCCGGGAGCCCTCAGGCACYCAAGGACACACGATGCCCTTGGGGAATGCCAGGGTTTCACCGGCAGAGAGGCTGTAGCAGGGCACGGTGGCACTGCTGGCTCCGGGTGCTTCCCATTTGCTGTCCCCGGTACCACCCGCGGCAGCCTCAGCCCTGCCTGCTGCCAAAAATACTCTCCCGGCTGTCTTGTGACTGCGGCGGTGTCACCGCTCCGGCCAGGGGAGCTGCAAGGCACAGTCCTGTGTCACATGGAGCAGCACGGGAAGCACTGACACGGCATCGCTGACTGAGGGGCTGTGCTTGGTCCGGCACCCCGAAATAGCTGGGACTCTTTCATCACAGCTGCAGAGTGGGGGGTCTGACCCCCAAGGAATGCCCTTCTCTGTTTCAGCTCTGGCAGCTCCCTGATAGGGGCTGGAGAGGGGTCAGGATGTGGGGAGGGACATCAGTGTGGGGACACGGTGTGACAGCCCGCCCCGCTGGGACACAGCCAGCCCCTCTCTGCCAGTCCTGCCATAACCAGAGCCACTCTTCTCCTTTCCAGGTGTCTCTTAAAAATGGTCAAGGGGAGTATTATAGGCCCTGAAGAGATCTTGAACTTCTGTTGCAATGGCCTCCAGGTACCCCCCGTGCCGTGCAGCTAACCCGGGGCTCCTCGTTGTGCCGGTGGCTACTAACCCGGGCTGTGCCAGGCTGTGCCACCCCGTGCCAGGAGCTGCTGCCAGCCCTGCACCGCCATCCCTGGCATCATTCTGGCTCTGCAGAGCCAGGGCTCTTCCCACAGCTAGCAGCTTCTTCCCAAAAATCCCGAAATGCCAAAATGACCGGCGGGATCTGGGGCCAGGCTGTCGGCTCGGCTCTGCAGCAGGCGGCTTTGGAGCTCTTTGCTTTGCTGGCTCGCACCCCGGAGCCTGCCGGCTTCCCAAAATAGCTCTGTGGTACTCGTGTAGGCGCCTGTGCGTGCTGGGAAGCAGCTCGGGAGGTTCAGGGAGGGGGTTGAGGCCGCTGGAGGGGTTCTGGTGGCCGGGGATCTGTCCCCTGTGGGATGGGGTCCCTTTGCCATCGGCGCTCGCCRCCGTCTCTGCTGAGGCGAGGTTTGTGCCGCTCCCGGGATGCCGTGTACCAGTAGCTATGGAAACAGAGGTTAGACCCGCTGGAGAAAAAATGCTATTCTGAGAGGCAGTGAGCTCAGGGTAGCCGGGAAAGCGTCATTTTCGGCATAAACTCATCTTTAAAAGGATCCGGGCAAAGCAAAGGGCAAAGAAGCTGTTGCAGTGGGACTCTGGCAACAAGTGCTGAGAGCGGGAGCTGCGGGAGCAGAAAGCGGAAGGAAGGGCTGTGACGGAGCCCAGACAGCTCCTCGTGTCTCCTCAGTTACTCACCAGGCTCACTGAGTTCAGCCCTTGTGTAACACGACTCACTCGACATCTCTGATCGGCGATTTTCCCTGCCAGCACCGCCTCAGCCTCCTCTCTCCCACCGGGGTGCGGGGGGAGCCCAGCAAAGAGACAAGCTGACAAAAAACACATTTTACTGCCCGAACGAGCCCAAACTGAGGATGCTTCTCCTCTGCTGCTTCCTTTGGCAAAGGGGGGTGTTGGGGGAAGGTGTAGACCACCGTCCAGCCCCGGGAAAGCAAAGCCACCCTGTGCTGYAGCACCCTAAAAATGAAGCTGTCAGGGAGAAAAATTCCTTCCCAGAGGAATGATTGACTTTGGGAGGGCTTTTGTGTGGTGTGGAGGGAGCAGTGGGGTTGGGTGATAAATGATCTGGAGTAATCCCTTTATGGAGCTTTTTTCAGAGGGATTTTTTTCCTTTTTGGCTGTGGGCACCTGGTCTTTGGCAAGGTCTGGGTGGGTGTGTAAGGCTGGGGTTCTCCTGGCTCYGCGTGGGGAGGTTCTGCATGGGTCACTCAGGGGATTTGCTGCCCATTTGGCTAAAACGGAGCTTTTGTGCCTCCCCAGGGCTCGACCTCTCCGCCACGTGCCCGGGAGCCAGGGGAGGAGGCGCAGGGGGCCATGGCCAGCCCCCCGCCCGCCCGCAACCCCACCGAGGTGCAGATGAGCCAGCTGGTGCTGCCCTGCCACACCAACCACCGCGGCGAGCTCAGCACCGGCCAGCTGCTCAAATGGATCGACACGGCCGCCTGCCTCTCCGGTGAGCCATCCTCTCCCTCCGGAGCTGTCACCGTGCTGGGCTGCCAGGGCAGAGCCCACAGGAGCCGGCAGTGTCCCTGGCAGTCCGGCACCGAGTGACGCCAGCTGGGGACCCGCGTTGTGCTGAGTAATTAGAGAGCGAACGGGAGCGGGACGAGAAGGGGAGGAGACGTGAGGTGCAGCATGTGTGCTGGCTTGGGGATGGAGCAAAACTCATCCCTGCCCTTTTCCTTGCCTGGTGCACAGAGCACGGGGAGACCGGGCTGTGGCATCCCTGGCATCCCRGCAGCAGCCAGAGGGGGCTGAGCTCCTCCGCTCGGTGAAAAGTGATGGAGCTCACCAGCTCACCAAGCACCAAGGGGAGGGTATGACAGGGAAATGGGTGCAATTYTGTAGTTGGATGAGGTTCCCAGAGCAGTTTTGCAGTTTGAGGTTCCTGGAGTCCCRGGGAAAGCCGCGCCGGCARARCAGCTTTGAAATAYTGAAATATTTSAAATATTTGCTGTGCACGGGGAGATGGAATCAGCTGCCGGTGCATGTCCAGAGCTGCAAAGGCGAGGAGGGAAGGCAAACACCAGCACACCCTCCAAACCTTTAAACATCTGCAAACCTGTCCTGCTGGCAGGAGAAACCCCAAACCCCGCTCTTGTCCCCAGCGATGGGCACAAGCAGGGAAAGGGACACTGTCTGGGTGTCACCGCTGTCACCAGCCTGGTGCACAGGAGCACTCGTGCCCCTCACACCCTCACCACCTTGCTGATGCCGTTTGTTTTTCCTTTCCAGCCGAGAGGCACGCCGGCTGCCCGTGCGTCACAGCTTCCATGGATGATATCTATTTCGAGCACACCATTAGGTAAATACTCGCGGCGTGCGCAGGCAAACGCGGGTTTTTTTCCCATCTGCCGGCTGCAGCGTGGACAGGGGCTGTGGCTGGAACAGGGAGCAGCGTTCCTGGGCGAGGAGGAGGSGCGGTGGCCGTGCCAGGCTCTCTGGGTAGCCGGGGGCCGAGGCTCAGTCTGCGGCGAGCGGGCTGTCTGCTCTGATTTATCCGCTGTCTGCTCGCCTGGGGAGCTCCTGCTGCGTTGGCTTCCCGGTATTTCCCCCAGCGCCAGCTCCTCCCTGGCTTTGTTCAGGAGACAGCTCTGATTTAGTGCTCTGGAAAGCTCAAGCTTTGCAGATCGTGCCGCTGGAGCGGCCACACGGGTGGCTGAGACACGGGGAGCKCGCCCACCCGGCGGGTGCTGGGGCGGTGGCACCTCCTGGCTTTGTGAGCTGCTTGAGCTGGGCATTGCTCGGCCAAAATCCCGGCCCAGGCTGGTCCTGGCATCCCCTGGTGCTGCCTCACGGGGATGCTCSCTCTGATTCGGGCAGTCCTTGGGATGCCATGTATCCGGACAATGTTTATCCTGAYCTCTAGGTGTGAGCAGAGGGGACAAAATCCCTCCCAGGGATCCCGCTGTGACTCCCAATATTGAGCCCGTTCCCACCCAGCATTCCCGAAGTGATTTCCCCTTTTGTACTCCCAATGAGCCCAGGTGCTGCCACTCGCTGTCATTCCTCTCTCAGAGCCCCACACCCCCTGTGCAGGGCTGCCTGTCTGTTCCCCGCTGATCCCATTCCAGGGGCTCTCTGGGTGTTTGCTGTGCCATATAGGATCCGTGCCATATGGGATCCGTGCAATATAGGATCCGTGCAATATAGGATCCGTGCCATATAGGATCCGTGCAATATAGGATCCTTGCCATATGGGATCCGTGCAATATAGGATCCGTGCCATGTAGGATCCGTGCAATATAGGATCCTTGCCATATAGGATCCGTGCAATATAGGATCCGTGCCATGTAGGATCCGTGCAATATAGGATCCGTGCCATATAGGATCCGTGCAATATAGGATCCGTGCCATGTAGGATACGTGCCATATAGGATCCATGCAATATAGGATCCGTGCAATATAGGATCCGTGCCATATGGGATCCGTGCAATATAGGATCCGTGCAATATAGGATCCGTGCCATATGGGATCCGTGCAATATAGGATCCGTGCCATATGGGATCCGTGCAATATAGGATCCGTGCCATATGGGATCCGTGCAATATAGGATCCGTGCTGCTCAGCAGCTCCTGCCTTGCTGTGTGGGATCATGCAGTCCAGGATCCATGTACCTGTGCTGGGGCAGGGGTTGCTGTGGGTCCCCAGGGCTGGCACGGGGGGTCCCTGGCTGTCAGCTGATTTCTCTGGCTCTGACTCACCCGTGGGTTTCACTGCCACTGCCAGGAAATGCWGAGGTGACATTTTTGCCCTCTGCCCATCGCCCTGGGGCTCAGCTCCGTGACAAATCCRCACTGTGGGGTTGTGGTGCAGCCCTGGTGCCACCTCCCACTGGCAGATGCGGGGTTGATGCCCTGCTCGAGGGACATTTTCTTTCCCCCATGAATTTCAGGATCAGAACAAACCCAAGCCCTGCTCCACAGCGTTCTGTCAAGCCCTGCAAAGCATTTGCCCCTCCTCGGGGGTGAGCTGGGCACTGCTCCAAGGGGGCAGGGAGTTTGTGCTGCTCCTGGCTCAGATCCCAYTTGCTGTGGTCCAGCTTAAGGCTCCGAGGAAAGGGCCTGGCAAGGATTTCTCACAGAGCTGTTGGAAGGCGGAGGGGTTTTGTGTCAGATCTCTTCACTCAGCTGTTTGTACTTTCTGCTGCCCCATGGGAGAGAGGCAGGGAGGGGCTGTAGGTGCACAGAGGAGACCCCAAATTGCCACAGGCTTCAAACCCACGGGCTGGGCAGCAGATTCWGCCCATCCCTCCGCAGTGCAACCTCCGGGGAGGATCACACGTGCCCTGGAGTGGGGCTTCGGTTGGCATTTTTGGCACTGGCTTCTGTTTGATAAGGGCAGAGAAGATAAAGTGTTTTTGGGGCTATATATAGACATGTGGGGCTGCCAGTCTGCCTGCCTGGCCCCTTGCCCTTGCATGCCCCTGGCTGCAAACCCATCCAGAGCACCCATCTGGCCGCTTCCATCGCCTCTAACCCTCTCCCCACATTTGCTTTCTCTTTTTGCCCCAGCCAGCCGCCCRTAAGCCCTGGAATGGGGAGGAGCTCTCTCGGGTACGGACGAGTTTGGCCCTAGAGCAGCCAGCCTAGCGCAGCGCTGCCGTGAGTTGGGAGCCTTAACCCCACTGACRTGGCATGGCACGTGGACAGAGGCTGCTCACCTAACCCTGCTAACGTTTGGGGGTGTCACCAGCCCAGGRTCCCTGCTGGGGGACAGCCAGAGGCACCAGCTCATGCCATCCCTGCTCCAGCGTGCAGAGTGTGTCATTTACAGGGCTCGTTTGAAGTCTCGAGTCACATGTGAGGGGGAAATACGGTGTCAAAGCACACGCTGACCGTTCCTCTCTTCTGCTTTTGAGCCCTCTGTGGAGCCAGCCTGCAGTGGTGGTTGCTGGGTTTGTTTTCCCACTGAGTTTTCTATCACCACCCTCTTTTAGGGAGTAAATATCCCTGATTTAATAATGTATTTGGTAAAGGCTGTTGTCAGAGTGGGTACCAGTCAGGAGTAGCTCAGGCTGCACAGCCCCAGCTGCCTGTGGGTGCTCTCTGGAGCCTGCTGAAGGCAGGAGGGCAGCAGCAGTTTGCTGCCAGCAGGTGTTTCATGTAAGGGATGGTGCCCAATGCCCCTGGCTGGACCCTCTCTGCTGCCATCTCCCATTATCCCGAGGTATCCATGGCTTGTGTGGAGGCCCCACAGCTGGTCTGGCTGTGCAGGGCTGTGGGTGTGAGGCTGGAGGAGCTGTTTGCTCTGATGCCCATGTGGGCCGGGGGTGCCAAACCAGCCTGGGCACCTCCCACCCCTSGGGTGTCCCGGCAGCACCCCCGACYTGGGGACCCTCTTGCACGCAGCTGCTCAGGGGTGACATTTCACYACTCTCACCTCTCAGGGGTGGCTGTCCCCKTGTCCTGCTGGCCAYCTGGCACGTCCCACAGTCCCAGGAAGCCTCACCAGGGTGGGCAGTGAGCCGTGATGCCGTGGCACCTCAGTGGATGTTGTACCCCGGTAACCCCACACACTTTCTCCTCTTCCTGTTTTTTCAGCGTGGGGCAAGTTGTCAACATCAAAGCCAAAGTGAACCGAGCCTTTAACTCCAGCATGGAGGTTGGTGTGTGCCCCCACCCCGACCCCCTTGCTSTGTGCCCATCCCCAATCCCCCAATCCTCCCGTTTCCCAGCTTTAATCCTGTRTGTCCRTCCTCTCTGGCTGGCTCTGCCCAGSRRTGCTCAGTGGGATGTRGCTCCCTGGGGAGCWGAGCYGGCTCTCAGGGGTGCTGTGCCCTCTCCCAGGTGGGCATCCAGGTGAGCTACGAGGACCTGTGCAGCGGGAAGCACTGCAGCATCTGCAAGGCGTACGCCACCTTCGTGGCACAGGGCCCCTTGGGCAGCAAGGTGAGCAGTGGTGGGCAGAGGGGGGACTTGGGAGCCTCTGCAGGGCTGGGCTGGGCTCTCCATCACAGCAAATGCTGTTTTTCGTGGTCACTGATCCCCTGTGAGGTGCCCATGGCTCTGGGCACGGGGGGCACCTGCTCCATGCTGTCCCTGCCCCATCCCTGCTGCAGGTGCGTCTGGAGCCGCTGATSCCGCAGACGGAGGAGGAGAAGATCGAGCACAGCATCGCTGCCGAGCGCCGCCGCATGCGCCTGGTGCACAAGGACACCCTCAAGGACCTCCTGACCCGCAGCCCMCAGCAAACCGGTACCGTGTCCCCGAGCCTGGCCACCCAAAATAGCCCCGGTGACATCCTGGGTCCTCAGCAGGTGCCGGTGGTGACACACGGGGATTTGGGATTGCCCTGGTTGTGGAGGGGCAGGGATCAGCCCCATCATCCCAGACTCGTGGGCAGGGAGGTGTGTGGGGTCGGTACAATGGGAGGGTGGCCGTGGGGAGCACCCCAAGGGCTGGTGGGGTGCTGGGAGCAGGGATCCCATGGCCACCCCACACTCTGAGCCCCGCTTTCCCCCGTGGCAGAGCTGGAGACGCGGGACGGCAGCGGGGCAGTGCCGGCAGCGAAGACACGGGTGGAGAGCGTGGAGCTGGTGCTGCCTCCCCACGCCAACCACCAGGGCAACACCTTCGGGGGGCAGATCATGGCCTGGATGGAGAATGTGGCCACCATCGCTGCCAGGTGACCCAGCAGGGGTTCAGGGTCGGGGGATGGCAAGCCTGGAGGGGACACACAGGTTGTAGGGACCCTCCAAAAGGGGTGGTCCCCAGGRTGTCACCAGGGTGTCCCACAGGGGTGAGGTGCTGGGGGACCCAGGGAAGGTTCACACTCACTGCAGCTGGCTTGTTGTAACTTCTCATGGCTGGCTTTGGCCACTGAAATCCAGGGGTGACTTTTTTGGGGTCTCCTCAGCCCTGGCTGGGTTAGGGAGGGTCTGTAGGGCCTCCAGAGTGTGGGGTCACGGCTGGAGTGTCACACCTGTCCCCACAGCCGGCTGTGCCACGCCCACCCCACGCTCAGGGCCATCGAGATGTTCCAYTTTCGGGGACCGTCGCAAGTCGGAGACCGCCTGGTGCTCAAAGCCATCGTCAACAACGCCTTCAAAAACAGGTGGGTGCCRCTGGCGGGGTCCCYGTGCCACCCTGCCCRTGRCTCTCCTCTCCCTCACSCCAYCCCYTGTGTCCAGCAGCATGGAGGTGGGGGTCAGCGCCGAGGCTTACGGCCAGGAGATGTCGGTCAGCCGCCGGCACATCAACAGCGCCTTCATGACCTTCGTGGTGCTGGACCAGGATGGCCACCCCCGCACGCTGCCCATGCTGGCACCCGAGCCGGGGGTAAGCTGGGTTTTTTGGCTTTTATTTCCACATTTTCAGGTGCTGGGGTACGCAGTTTGTGTTTCAGGATTTTTTTGCAGCTTTGCAGCCACGATGATGGTTTGCCCATCGCTTGGTGGCAACGCTGAAATGCCGAGCAGGGCTGGCTTCTCCCCTSCCAGGTGGCACAGGACCCCCGGGAATTCCAGCAATCCCCTTGGATCCGCAGCAAAACAAATGCAGTTTTATGAGGATGGAAAKGAAATTGCTCGATAGCGAGTGAATTAAATGGATTGCTCGGTATAACTAATAAAATAAACCGCTCGCCTGCGCCGAGATGGAGACGTATTAGCCATGCAAGGCTTAGCAGAGTATTGCCTGCAAATTCCAGCTCGTCCTTTCTGTAATTTAGGGGAAGGAATGTTGAGGTTGTTTCTACCTTTCAGAGTGTGCTAATCCATAATTTGCTGGGATCCAAATATTTAGGGAAATGTGTCGTGTGAGCACAGCAGCAAAGCAAACACTCAGGCGTCTCAGCCTCTGCTGGGCTGAGCCTTGCCCAGCTGCCTGATTTTTTTTGATGCCTTAAAATCAGGATCTCCCACTATGATGGAGCTTATCTCATGGCCAGAATCAGGCTCCCTGAAACCTCCTTTTGCCCACTTCAAAGCACTAAACTAGCACTTTCTTCAAAAGAAGCAGCTTTTTTTTGACTTTTATTTCCCCAGGATAGGCATTTGCAGGTGCTAGGGGACACAATTTATGTCTCAGGTGTTGTTTGCAGCTTTGCAGCCACAACGAGGGTTTTCCCTTCTGTGCCAGTGCCCATCACTTGATCAGAGCATGGTGGCAACGCTGAAATAACTCACAATTAATCACTGACCATCACTGCAGTGTAGCCAGGGTGGCAGCCAGCAAGCAAGGAGGCTTCACCTTCCAGCCCTTCCCTGATGAATGTTCTTCCCGCTCCCAAAAAGGTGTGAATTTTTTTTTTCTTCCTCCTCTTCCTATTAACTTAATTACCTTTTCCCATTTATCAGGATGGAGAGAGGAGGTACAGAGAAGCCAGTGCTCGGAAAAAAATTCGGCTGGACCGGTGAGCAGCAAAGCGAGAGGGATGTGGGTGTGGAGGAAGGACAAGAGGGGGGCTGAGGGCTGAGGTGCAGGGACAGTCTGGGGGTGGCTTGTGTCCCTTGGTGGCTCAGGGCTGAGGGCTGAGGTGCAGGGACAGTCTGGGGGTGGCTTGTGTCCCCTCATAAGGAAAACTGTTCCTTTTCTGCAGAAAGTACGTCGTCTCCTGCAAACAGACCGAGGTGCCGCTCTCTGTGCCCTGGGACCAAAGCAACAAGGTAGGGATGATTTCCCTCTGGGAGCTGCTGCCTCCTGCCCTTCCTCCTGCTCCTCCTCCTCCTCCTGCCCCTTTTCCTGCTCCTCCTCTTGCCCCTGATATGCTGCCTTCACCCCCAGGTTTATCTGAGCTATAACAACGTCTCTGCGCTGAAGATGCTCGTGGCCAAAGCGAACTGGGCACTGGCCAGAGAAAAGGAGAAGGTACCAAACCCTGTCCCTGCTCCCTGGCCCCCACAGCCTGGGCAGTCCCTTTGSGATGGAGTCCCAGCCATGCCCTGTGCTCCCCGAGGTGCGGATGTACACGCTGGAGGAGGACAAGTTCCTGTCGTTCCGCATCGAGATTTCCGTCGGCATCGCGGCCGGCCGCGCCTTCTCGCTGCTCTCCAACCTGGAGCGCCGGCACGAGTGGGACAGCCACTATGTGTGAGTGCTGCAGGCTCCCCAAAAAACACCCCGAGTGCAGGGCTTGTGGCTGAGCATCCCTGTGGGGCCAGCATTATGCCTCGCTTGCTCTTGGAGACCCTTCACCGTGTGTCCCCTTCCAGCTCCACCTGGGCTGGTGGCTGCACTCACCTATTTTGGGTCCCCCCAAATATTTTGGGGCTGTAAATGTGTCAGGCCCAGATTCAAGGGCATGGCAGGGTTTCTGTGACTGGTCCCCTGCCCTCACAGGAGCGCTGAGCTGGTGCAGAAGGTCGATGATGATGACATGATCTACCACGTGGTGAGCCAGAAGCTCCGACACGAGAACAAACCGCAGGACTTTGTCATCCTGGCGTCCCGGCGGAAGCCCTGCAGCACGGGGTGAGTGTCCAGCCCGTCCCCTGCTCCCTGCCATCCRAGCTGTGCCAGCTCACGGTGCTCTGTCCTCCCCAGGGACCCCTACGTGGTGGCTTTTCGGTCGGTGACGCTGCCCACCCACCCTGCCCAGCCTGAATTCACGCGCGGGGAGACGCTGTGCTCCGGGTTCTGCATTTGGCCGGAGTCAGAGGAGATGAGCAAGGTGGGACAYTGTGGCTGTGCCACCCATAACCCCCCTCTCCTGTGCCCCTGCTGACCTTGTCCTGTGCTCTGCAGGTGGCTTACTACAACCAGGCCACGCCGGGCTACCTCAACTATGTCACCACCAACGTGGYGGGACTGTCCTCTGACATCTGCTCCACCTTCGAAGCCTGTGAGAAGTTCCTGCTGAAGAACAAGGAGGACCTGATCTCACGGATGCAGGACTTCTAGAGCCACGGGACCCTGCTGGACAGATGGACAGACAGATGGACAGACAGATGAGGGGACACCTCTGTGGTGGAAGGGGATGTGGGATGGTGGCACACTGACCCTGCCTCCTTGGGGACTTTGGTCCCAGGGGCTGGGTTGGAGGGGCATCACTGTCCCACCTCATCCCTTGCACTGATGTGTCATATCTTCTTTCTTTTTTTTTTAATTTTAGTTAGAAATTTTATAAGCTGATGTACAGGACTTGAATCTTTATATGATCCAAAACCTTCCCAAATAGGATTATTTTTTTTTTTTACTAGTTCTCTGTGGGACATAACTGGTTTCTTTTGGGGCAGGAAAGGGAGTGATATGGGGTAGGTTCTGTACTCTTCCCTGGCATAGGGGTGGCTGGTGGAACATCCCACTCTCCCCAGTGCTGCTCCTTTCCCTGGGCTGAAATCCCACCCCGTGGGGCTGTGGAAGGAGCAGCAATAAAAGTGAACTGAAAGGAAAAACATCCACGTGTGCTSTGGGTGAGTGTCTGCTCCAGGGGCTGTGAGGTGAGCTTGGAGCAGGGATCCTGCACCCACAGCACCCACAGCACCCYTGGCACTCAGTGGATGTGGGGACAGGACTGTGCTGCAGGAAAAGGGGGGTGCTCCATGCAAATGGGGACTGCCTGGGGGTGCACCAACACCTTGAGCTGTAAACMCCAAACTGCCTCAGAGGCGCTGGAAAAGGGAAAAGCAGAGCCAAACCTTGTTGCCCTAAGTCTGGGATGCTCTGGGAAAGCCAGCAGAGTGAAGCAGGGGGGACAGCAGAAGAGCTTCTGATCGGTCACAGCCCAGGGGACACCTGTCCTGAGCCCCAGGACAGTGGAGACCTCCCTCCCCAGCCTTCCTGGGTCACAGTGTCACGTTTTTTGATGGCACTGAGCTGTCAGGAGAGGCACAGAGAGCTTTGGGCACAGCAGGCTGAGCAGGTGCCAGCTGAGCCCTCACCTGTGCCTGCAGAGCCCTGGCATTCACCCCAAGGTCTGGCAGAGCTTTACCATGAGAGAGTGATGGTGGTGCCATGCTTGGGGTGAGATGAGGCCATGGGGTGCCAGAAATTATCACAAGGTCTTTTCCAGGCACCCTGGGCTGTTTTGTCCCTTTTCTGCAACACCCAGTCCCTTTGCCACCCAAATTCCCCACCCAGTTTATAACCCCAGGAGCTCCTGCCCCTCTCCTGYGGGCACCAGTGGGCAGCTCCCCACCTGGGCTGGCTGTGGCTGTAATCCCYGAATCTCTGCTGCATTCCCATCATAAACATCTCAGCACAAGGCCTGGCACGGCCGTGCCCCARCCTCCAAAAGATAAAGCCATCTCAGGCTGAACACAGTACAAAACATGCAATTTTTATAGAGCCCTCTTATCTCTCCAAACTCGGAGCAATCCTGCCTTTTTATCACCAGGACGAGAGCCATCCTTCCTACTTGCCYGTTAGGAATTGCTGCTGCTTGATTAAGTGGAGGGGATGATGTATTTGCCTGAACATTAAACTTTAACTGACCTCTCCTTCTCCTCAAGTRTTGTGCTTTTTCCTGCTGGGAGGCCCCGGTCAGCCCTGGCTCCGGCCTGGCTGCGTCCCTGGGGRTGCAGGGTGATGGAGCAGGAGTGACCCGGGGGCATGCAGAGAGGTTTGTGTGCATTTGGAACAAAAGTGCAGCCCTGCAGCACCTGCTGGCCTTCAGTGGGGCATGGACAGAGGCACTGGGCAGCTTGGAGCATCCCTGAGCACCCATCCCCACTGCCTCATCCCACAGAGGAGG